CTCCCACCCCGCCCCACCTCTGTGGCAAGGCATTCCCTTTTTCTCACTCTTTTCTTTAGGGTGTTGTGGTTTGCAATAGAGGTATTGAGTGGTCATTGTGTTCGGTCTATAGTCTACTTTCAGCACGCATCTCGCATCTCGAGTGAGTCCTCCAAACATCCTTTACTTGGTGTCCCCTTCTCTATCTGAGCTGCCCTTTCCCCCAGCATATGATGCCAGCCTCCAAGCTGTGCAGCAGACCTCCTGGTACTTATCTCAACTATTCTTGGGTGTTCATCTCCTCTTCTGTTGCTTTATATTCTCCAGATGAGTGCAAATTTCTACGTCCGTCCCTCTCTTTCTGACTCATTTCACTTAGCATGCTACTTTCCATATAGAACCACTTCTATGCAAATTTCATGACTTCATCTTTTCTAACAGTTGCATAGTATTCCATTGTGTAGATGTACCAAAGTTTCTTTAAAGATTCATCTGTTGTCGGGCACTTGTTTTTTTTTTTTCCCAGATTTTGGTTATTGTGAACAGTGCAGCAATGAACATACAAATGCAGATGTCATTTCGACTATACTTTTTTGCCTCTCCGGGATATATTCCCAGGACTGGTATTGCTGGGTCAAATGGGAGCTCAGCCTCTAATTTTTTGAGAATCATCCATACTGTTTTCCAAAAAGGCTGAACCAGTTGGCATTCCCACCAGCAGTGAGGAAGAGTCCCTTTCTCGCCACATCCTCGCCAGCACTGGTTGCTTTTGTTCTTTTGCATGTGGGCCAGTCACTGTGGTGTGAGATGATATCTCACTGTTTTTTGATCTGCATCTCCCTGATGATTAGTGCTGTAGAGCATTTTCTCATGTGCCTTTTAGCCATTTGGATTTTTTCTTTGACAAAGTTTCTGTTCATTTCATCACCCCATTTTTTGATGGGGTTGGATGTTTCTTCTTCTGGAGTTCAACCAGTGCTTTGTATATCCTTGATATCAACCCCTAATCGGATGGGTATTGGGTGGATATCCTTTCCCATTCTGTAGATTGTCTTTGTATTTTGGTCACTGTATCTTTTGCGGTGCAGAAGCTTCTTAGTTTAGTATGGTCCCATTTGTTTATCTCTGTTTCCCCTTGGTTGGTCAGTGGCATGTCATCTTTGAAGACACCATTAAGCCTCAATATCCTGGAGGGTTTTGCCAACCTTGTCTTCAATGTATCTTATGGATTCTGGTCTGATGTTGAGGTCTTTAATCCTTTTTGATCTGACTTTTGTGCATGGTGCAAAACAAAATTTTTTTTAAAAGGAAGTGGAACTTAAAAAAGGAATTGGAAACACAAAAATTCCCAACACTGAAACTAACTAATCATGGCTCAATAAGGATCAAAACCACGGTTGGTCTGGGAGCCTTAAAGCAGCCCCCATTTCAGGCAGAAGATGAGAAAATGGAAATCAGGTGAGAACTGTCATCCTAACAAGATGCCCAGTTGGACCCCTCTCTCTGTTTTGCCCTTGTGGCAGCTGGTCTGTTTAATGATAGGCTCACTGAGTGGCTGGAAAGTTGATGGGGTATGTGGTTACCCAAGATTTCTAGAGTCAAAATATTTTCTTCCCTTCTTGATGATGATTATGAAGAAACTTCCTCAAAATTCACTGGTGTGCTCAGTGTTTATTCCATACACCGCATTTCATCTCTGAATTGAAGTAATCTTTAATGCAGGCCTGGGTGATGGGACAGTAGGGAGGGCATTTGCCTTGCACACAGCCAGTCTGGATTTGATCCCAGCATCCTATAGGGCTCCCCAAGCACTACCAGGAGTAATCCTGAGTGCAGAACCAGGAATGACTCTGGAGAAATCTTTTCAGAGTATTTTTTAATAAATTCTGTACCTATGATGCCAATTTTACATTATTTTCATAATTTATTTTATTTAATTATTTTTACATCCTTTAAAAATCTTAAATTGGGTCAGAATGTTAGTACAGTGGGTAGGGCATTTGCCTTGCACACAGCTGACCCTGGTTTACTCCCTGGCATCTCATATGGTCCCCTGAACACTGCCAGGAGTAATTCCTGCATGCAGAGCCAGGAGTAATCCCTTAGCATTGCTGGACATGACCCAAAAAGCCAAAAATTTTTTTTAAAATTATTTCTTTTCTATGATGCCAATATTATCACATCGAATCGTTTTATTCATAGGATTCAAGCCTAATGCTCTTAAGTCTTTCAAAGTTTTTTATTTTAATGAATCATCATAATACGGTTACAGACCTACACATTTTCATGATTACATTTCACTCTAACAATGTTGGAGTACCCATCCCTCCAATAGTGCCCATTTACTCTGATGTCCTTTTTTTTCCTTTTTGAGTCACACCCAGCGATGCACAGGGGTTACTCCTGGCTCATGCACTCAGGAATTACTCCTGACGATGCACGGGGGACCATATGGGATACTGGAAATCGAACCCGGGTCTATTGCTTGCAAGGCAAATGCTCTACCCACTGTGTTATCACTCAGTCTCTGCTCTGATGTCCTAAATACATTTTCTTCCACCATAATACCTAGAAGAGGATGGAGGGAGAGAAAGAGAGAGGGGAGGAGAGAGAAAGAGAGAGTGAGAGAGGTGTCTGCTAAGGAGGCAGGCTGGGGGTGGGCAGTGGGGGTAAGGGGAGGGAAATTGGAGACACTGGGGGTGGAAAATGTACACCAGTGGAGGCATGGGCGTTGGAATACTGTATGACTGAAACTAATCATGGAAAGTTTTGTAAGGTCCAATCTCACAGCGATTCAATAAAAAAATGAACAAAACCCCTCCATTTCTGATTCCTTGTACTCTGATCTCATCATTATAAAGAAATTCCAATTTGGTGGTACTGTTCTGGTAAGGAACAATCTCATTAGGAACCCTATGAAGTGTGGTTGTGACAGTTACCGTATTCCTGACATTAGAGGGAAGCCTTCATATTTCCACCATCGACTATGATGCTCAGGATGGGACTGTGACCTATGTTCTTCATCGTGTTGAGGTACTTTTCTTCTATGTCCATTTGGTTTTGGGTTTCCAGGTTATACACAGGGCTAGAAAATCACAAACCCTAACATTCGAACAGAACCCCAAATGACCTCTAACAATCCCAACGGTATTACCAAGAACAAAGCACAAGGTATCCTGGTTCCTAAACCATCTCACAAAACTACTGTAACTCAAATGGCATGGCACAGGCACACTTGCAGAAACATGGGAATGCCTACAGGGATGTGGATGGGGTGATGATAACTGTGACTGTTTAGGGGAAGACTTTCATCACAACATGAACCCTTCCAACCCGCCCATAGTATACATATACCTTTTACATTTAAACCTTCATATGTTCTGCTAAAAGTGGTCTATAGACCAAACATGACTGCCACTCAATGCCTCTCTGGCAAAACACAGTACCCAAAAGAAGAGAGAGAGAACAGGGAGGAATGCCCTGCCACAGCGGCAGGGTGGGACGGGGGAGGGAGGATGGGGGGTGGGAGGGATGCTAGGACCCGTGGCGGGGGAGGATGGGCACTGGTGGAGGGATGGGTACTTGATCATTGTATAACTGAAACCCAAGCACAAAAATTTATAAGTCTATAAGTGTACTTCATGGTGTTTCACTAATAAAAAAATAAAAAAATAAAAAACCTTCATATGTTCCTTTATACGAAGTTCCCAGACATATTTCCAACTACCCCCTTTCAGAAAATTAAATAAATAAATCCCTCAACATCCCCCTGAAAACTACCTTCTTGTTTGTTTGTTTGTTTGTTTGTTTTGCAGGAGTCACGCTTGGCTGCTCAGGGATTCCTCCTGAAACCTCACTTAGGAATTACCTATGGCAGGACTCAGAGGACCATATGGGGTGCCAGGAATTTAACTTGGCTTATTTTGCATGGAAGGGAAGTGTTCTCCCCACTGTGCTATTCATTCAGCCCAGAAACCTATCTTCTTTTAATATAGAGAAGTATCTCCCCTACCCTCACTTGCTCCCAAGCCTACTAATGCCTCTTGGTTCATTTTAGTGTCCCCTGATGGAGGATGGGTGGGTGGATGTGTTTCTCACCCTGGAGAAACTCTGTCCTGCAAAAAATCCCAGTATTTTGTAGCTTTGTTGTAAAGATTTTGTTTTTTATTTTTTAAAAATTTGGGGCCACAACCAGCTGAGCTTAGGGCTTACTCTGAGTTCAGGGATCACTCCTGGAGGTGCTTGGTGGGGGACCCTATAGGGTGTTAGGGATCAAACCTGGATCATTCCCATGAAAGGCAAACACCCTATCTGCTATAATATCTCTCTTGCCAGCCTATGTTTTTGCATATATATTCATAAATACTTCTTTGCTTTCTTTTGGGGCCATACCTGGCAGTGATCCGGACTGACTGCCCACTCTGTGCTCAGCGATCACTCCTGGGGAGGCTCTGCATTTCCAGGGATCAAACCTGGCTTCATGCAGCGCTAGTGCTTCCCTCCGTAACTCTCTGGCCAGATGTTATCTGCATCTCTTCCACTGCTCCATGTGTACCCCCTTTCAGTGGCCATTTGTGATCTCCAAGACCACAGCCACAATCACATGTGCCCCATATATTTTTTCTTTTGTTTTTGTTTGGGGGCTGCACCTGGTGATGCTCAGGGCTGACTCCTGGTTCTGCGCTCAGGGATTACTTCTGGCAGTGCTCTGGGCGTGAGGAAGAGGGACCCTATGGGATGTTGGGGGTTGAAACTGGGTCAGCCACGTGCAAGGCCAGCACATTACCATCCAGCCCCACACGTGTGCCATCTAACAACTGAGAGTGTGACAAGCCCCCCATTAATACCACAGTGTTCCAGCCCCCTAGTCAACTGTCCAACCCTGACTCATTGCTGCATCTCCATCGTCATCATCACTGAGAGAAGGGAAAGGATGGGAGGGAAGAAAATGCCATTAGGTACCATCCAAAGTCAGGGTTCCTCCCTGCCAACGTCTCAGTCAACCATCCTTGTGCCCTCGCTCACCCCAAGGCAAATAGCTTGGGAGGTGCTTTGCTCATGAGGCTTCTCAGGGCTGCCTTGATGTCCTTGTTCCTGAGGCTGTAGATGAAAGGGTTCAGCATGGGGGTGACCACCGTGTACATCACCGAGGCGATGGCGCTGGCCCTGTTGTTCTGGGTGGCCGCCGAACTGAGGTACACGACCAGACCCGTCCCGTAAAACAGGGAGACCACGGAGAGGTGGGACCCGCAGGTGGAAAACGCTTTGTACCGGCCCCTGGCAGAGGTCATCCTCAGGATGGAAGAGACAATCTGAGAATAGGAAAAAGCGATGCCCGAGAGGGGTACAATGCCCATCAGCACGGTGGCAAAGTACATCTCGATCATATTGAGGAGGTTGTCGGAACAGGCCAGTTGAAGGACTTGGTTGATTTCACAGAAGAAGTGCGGGATCCTCACGTGGGCACAGAAGGACAGTCGCAGCACCAGGAGACCCCGGATCATGGAGTCCAGGACACTCAGGATCCAGGAGAAGAGCAAGAGGAAGCCACAGAGGCGGGGGTGCATGATGGCCGTGTAATGCAGTGGATGGCAGATGGCCACAAAGCGGTCATAGGCCATCACGGACAAGAGGAAGATGTCCAGTTCTGCAAAAAGGATGAAGAAGTACATCTGGGTGAGGCAGGAGGCGTAGCTGATGGTTTGGCTCTGAAGGTGGATATTGGCCAGCATCCTGGGGACAGTGGTGGAGGTGAAGCAGATGTCCGAAAAGGACAGGTTGGAGAGGAAGAAGTACATGGGCGTGTGGAGGTGGGGGTCGGAGATGGTGGCCAGGATGATGAGCAGGTTCCCCAAGACCGTGACCAGGTACATGGAGAGGAAAATCCCAAATAGAACGGGTTGCACCTCTGGTTCATCTGAGAGCCCCAGGAGGATGAATTCTGAGAACTGGGTGTTATTTTCTAGTTCCATACCTCGAGCGTCATGGTCTGAAAAGTGGCAATAAGAGAGAGATGCAAAGAGAGAGAGCAATAGTACAATGGGGAAGGTGTCTGCCTTGCATGGGGCCAACCAGGGTCTATCCCCAGCATCCCATAGGGTGTCCTGAGCACCGCCAGGAGGGATCCCTAAGTGCAGAGCCAGGAGGAACCCCTGAGCACTGCCGGGTATGGACCCCCAAACGAACAAACAACCGCCCCCCAAAAAGCAAACAAAAAATTAATTTATATCACCCAACATTAAAAGATAAAGATAAAGGCCCTCCCGTTGATCGTCGATTTGCTCGAGCGGGCCCAGTAACGTCTCCATTGGAGACTTTGTTGTTACTGTGTCTGGCATATCGAATACTCTCGGTAGCTTGCCGGGCTCTCCGAAGTTACTAGTTCGAATTACATAAATTATGTGGTTCATACTTACTCTACAAATCAGCGCTTCTCGACTGGGGCCACATGGCCTCCTGTGGATCTCCAGGATATTTCAAAGAGGGTCACAGGTAAAAATTATATATCAGTGGGGGTTAAAGGCACAGGACTAGGAGGTCAACCAATAGGATGAAGGGGCAGAGGGAAGGAATCCGCTCAGAAGAAATTTGAAGGAGCCGGAGAGATAGTGGATAAGGCACTTGCCTTGCACGCAGCTGACCTAGGTTTTCTAGACTGCCAGGAGTGATCCCTGAGCCTAGAGCCCGAATGAAGCCCTGGAACCCAGATGGATGTGACTTAAAAACTAAACAACAGGGACTGGAGCAATAGCACAGCTGGTAGTGCGTTTGCCTTGCATGCGGCCAACCCGGGTTCGATTCTCAGCATCCCATATGGTCCCCTGAGCACTGCCAGGGGGGATTCCTGAGTGCAGAACCAGGAGTAACCCCTATGCATCTGCATCGCCGGGTGTGACCCAAAAAGCAAAAAAAAAAAACTAAACAACAGCAATCACAACAGCAAAAACCCAAAACAGAAACACCAGGAAAATGTTTATAAAACCTCCCGTAAATGAATGCAGGTAGTGTATGCTTCATAGTTTGTCTGCTGGTGCATTATCTCTTAGATTTCCTCCTTACTTCCTGATTCCCCTGCCCCACCCCCATGATTCTCATCATCTGTAATCTCAGGAGGTTCCCCGCAAGCACAGGCACCTCACTGGTCCTATAGAGAATTTTTCCCCACAGTGCAATACTCCTTATATGTTTTTTTTTCTTTAAACCCTGGACTGGAGGCAGAATTAGAGGTGGTGACTGTGGAGTGACATATGAAGGGCGAAAGGAACAAAAAGCTTTCTGTTGGGGAGTCAAAGAGATAGTATAGCGGGTAGGGTGTTTGCCTTGCATGTGGCCAACCTGGGCCCAAATCCTGGGACCCCATAAGGTCCCCTGAGCACCGTCAGGAGTGGTTCCTGAGTGTAGAGCCAGGAGTAATCCCTGAGAATTGCTGGATGTGATCCAAAAAGTCAAAAAACATTAAAACCCCAACAATAACAGCAATCAAACAACCCTGGAGTGGCATACATGAAATTTCCAGAACCATGAAAATGGCAAAGCTGCAAAATCTAGGATACTTGGTGATTTGTGTCCTGCAGAGTGCCTTTTTGTCTTTTTTGTTTGTTTTGGAGGGACATCCAGTGGTGCTCTGTGGGGAGGGGGGGCGCTAAACCACTCTCAGGCCCCGCGGAGGTGGCCCTAGGGATTGATCCGTCCATACGTGCAAGAAGGGACCAACTGAATGAACATAAGACACAAGAGACAGAGTGCAGTTTAGAAACAGAGAGAAAAAGGGACAGAACTTTATTGAGGGCTACAGGCTGTTTATATAGGGTCAGGGGCATCCCAGTCAAGAGCAGAAGCAATATAACCATACATGGTAAGGTCAGCAACAAGAGCTTTACCTAGCATTCAAGGTAGACATTTGTATATCAAAGGGTCCTGGAGGTCACTATAGATAAGGCCAGATAACTGTCAGCCTGATGTATGTGGCTTTAGATCAGGCATCCACTGAGGTCAGGAAGCACTGGGAGACTGTCACCAATATCTGTCCCAAGCAGTTTCTAACATGCAAACCACGGCCAGGGTCTATGAGAGGGCTCTTGGCTTCCCACAGTGCTCAAGAGTTATTCCTGGCTCTACACTCAGCAATCACTACTGGTGGTGCTCAGGGGGATCCTTTGGGATTCAGAGGACCGAACCAGGTCCGGCCACATGTAAAACTGTCGCCCTGCCTGCTGTGCTATCTCTCCAGCCCTTGTTCCAGTTCTTTTCTTATCTTTTCTGCTCTGTGTTCATCTCTCTTCTAGGTATTTGATTATATTTCAACCTTTTTACACTGAGAAACCAACATTGGTCTGCAAAACTCAAGCTGGTGGCTGAAAAACACTATTGTAGAGTGATTCACCCCAGTAGGACTGGACAACATATGTGTATGTGTATTTCTAAATCCACACTGGGTGGTTCTCAGGACTTAGCCCTGTATTGGAGCTCAGGGGTCAATCCTGGCAGTCCTTAGGGGACCATATGCTGTTGCCAGGGATTGAACCAGAGTCAACCACGTATATGGTGCTTGTTAATCCAGGGGCTGTCTCTCTGACCATGAAACTGGACAATTTTGGCTATGTTGTGTCTACAAGGGGTTGCCTGCCTTGGGGAACTGCATTTTCCATGTTGTAGTGATTCACTCTTTGAGAGGGGACTGAATCATGTCTCGGTCCTTCTTTAGCCCAGAATGCAAATTTCTTGAGAGGTCAGAGAGACAGTAAAGCACAGAGGAAGCTTGCCTTGCACATGACCAACCCAGGTTCGGTCCCTGACACCCTATATGGTCCCCTGAACCCCACCAGGGGTGATTCCTAAGGACAGAGCCAGGAGTAACCCCAGGGTATTATCAACTGTGGCCCAAAAACCAAACATTTAAAAAAAGAAAAATGATTTCATGATAGAGCTTTTTCCTGGCTGTATGAAAGAATGAGTATGGACAGAATCCGTTAAGCATGGGAGAGAGGAAAAATTGCTGTGCCAGGAAAGAGCCAGAGAAGTGGATGTAGACAGGAAGGAAATAGAACCTAAAAGGTAGCTTGCACAGGACCAAGCGATAGTGCAGTGGGTAGGCGCTTGCCTTGCTTGCTGCCGACCTGGGTTTGATCCCCAGCACTACACATGGTTCCCTAAGCCCACCAGGAGTGATCCCTGAGCACAGGGCCAGAAGGAAGACCTGACCAGTCAGATGTGGAGACCCAACCCCCAAACAACAACAAAGCAAAGACCCAAAAAAGGCAGAGGATGCATCTGAGCTGAAAGGCAAAAGCAGACGTTCAAACACCCACTAGGCTAAAGGCATTTCCCAAGTTCTCAGATCAGGAGAAAGCATATTTTGAAGATTTCATCCATCCTCAAAAGGCAATTTTACAATATTACGAGGAGACTCTCTCTCCAGATCTCATTTTTTTTCTTGCACTTACAAGAATTCACCGATCGCTGAGGTGTTTGCGTTCACTGAATCTAGTTCGGTTTCTTCCATAGACAGTTTTTACAGATGGCGGTTCTGCCACCAGGCTGGGCAGGTGGGTAGAAACCCTCATGAACCTCTGAACGATGCAGCTGTCTTTCTTCTGCGATGGGTTGAGCCAAGCAGGAATAACTGTATTATATAAAACAGCCTCATCTGTGTTAGGGCTCCAAGGACCTAATTCTCACAGTGCCTCATTAAAGAAATGATTCTATTGTTATTCTAATTTCTGAAGACTGATTCCTTGGGAGCCAAGAAGTTCAAAGGAAGTGGATTTGATTTTGCAATGTTGCTCCTTGGAGTAACAATGGAATTCAGTGTCTGTCCCCTAATCAATGCCAGCCTTCCTCCCTTAGATGTGGTCTGTAGGGAGCAGGAAGCGTCTATTTTAAGATTATTATTAATTATATAAAATTTTAAATATAATTAATGACTGGCATTATTTAGGAAAACAATACACAGCGGTAGGGCGTTTGCCTTGCACGCAGCTGACATGGCCAACCCGAGTTCGATTCCTCCACCCCTCTCAGAGAGCCTGACAAGCTACCTGTGACGTATTCGATATGCCAAGCACAGTAACAACAAAGTCTCCAATGGAGACATTACTGGGCCCGCTCGAGCAAATCGATGAACAATGGGAGGACAGTGATTGACTATTTAATCCTAGCTACATTGTTCCCTCTTGCAAACATTAAGTATGGCATAAGAGATGATGAAGATATCAGAAGAAACTATACACAAATGCATATAATGACAGAGGGTAGATATTATTCCTGAATTTAAAAATGAGCTGAAATAAAAGGTTGGTGATTGAATCATAATTTTATTTAAATTTATTATATTTTGTTTTGGGTGTCACACCCACAGGTTATCAGGACTTATTCCTGACTCTGCAGACAGGGAGAACTCCTGATGGGGTCAGGTGACCCTTTGAGGTTCCAAGGATTGAATCTGGGTCAGCCATGTGCAAGGTAAGCACCTTTCTCATCATACTATCACGCTGATCTATAAATGGATTTCTTCTTGAATTACATATTATTCACAGACATTTCTTCTTTATTTATTTATTTTTTTTAAAGAATCACGAGCTGCTTGTTACTCACCTGGAAAATAAAACTAAACTTGCAGCTGACGTCATTGCATCGAAGAGGAACTTTTTTTTTTTCTTTTTGGGTCCACACAGGCATGCTCAGAGGTTACTCCTGGTTAAGCACTCAGGAATTACTCCTGGTAGTGCTTGGGGGACCATATGGAATGACTGGAATCGAATCTGGTCGACTATGTGCAAGGCAAATGACCTACCTGCTGTATTATCACTCCGGCCCCACAAAGAGAACTTCTGATACCACATTTTCGTACTTTCTGTTTATTATACATTGATCGTATGGGCAATGTTGCCTTTGTTTCATGGTTGGTGTTCTGATTGTATTCTATATTGGGGGGGCATACAGTGATGCTCTTGGGTTACTGCTGGCAATACTC